TAAGTGGCACGTGATTGAGGGGACCAAAGTTAAAAGATGGAACCTTTTGTGTATGTTGTTGTCACCCATAACCAAGCAAGTTTAGGTAGAAAATAAATGAATTGTGAGCAATATTAGTCTGGCTTTAGTTGTTAGTCTTTTTCTTCATTTCATTTTTTTTTTGGTAGATAAAAAGAAAGATGCTTTTATTCGAAAAAGAGGTATAAAGGGGCTAAGGGAGTGGGGAAGATGATGCACATGGTATGTTTCCTAGCTTCTTTTATGTTAGAAGAAGAAAAAAAGAGAGAGAAAGAACTAAGATAAGACATGAAAAACAAAGATGAAGAATTAACGTAAATGAACACTCATCCAATCGCATAAATTAAAAATAGCCGGTTGATATATAATATATGTATAATTTCTATTGTAATTATGTATAATCCGTACATAATCTATATATATCAGCAAGGAAAAATAAATAGTAAATCCGACCGGTTATTACGATAAAGGGAATTGATGAAATAAGAGTGAAGATAATGACTAGCAGTAGTCTGTTCTAATTATGGAGGTTTTCTCTGGCATTCCATGTGCATCAATCACCTCTTCCCACTTCTTATTATTTTAAAGATTTATAAATTATATAACTTCCCCAGTCTTTTCTTTCAAAACAATCTAAGATTGTACTTTGATGTAACAACTACCCACCCCACCACTACTCCCCTACCCCCTCTCAGCCATATATATCCTTCTTAAATTCATCTATCTTCTCCCCTGAGTCTGAGGAACAAAACTAAACAACACCATTCTTAAACTCTCACTATAAGTTTTGTACAACTATTCAAGATGAGTAATACTTCCAGTCCTACACCTTGTAGTAGATCGTGGTAAGTTAATTTAAATGAATATAGTGGTTTGTTACTCTATTTTTCAGATTATCATATCGGACTTGCTATGAAAAGTTGTCTGTTATAGTAAACGGGAGTTAAATTAGAGATTAATTTCTGTTTTTGTAGGTCAATTAGTGAGGACTCGTTGAGAAGATATGTGTTCTATGCAAGTGAGAATTGCATCCAAGAGTTGTTATCAGCTTCCGATTCAAAATGTGGGAATAATGACGGCTGGAAAATACTTGGGTTAGATAACGGCGTGGAGATATCGAAACGCCGTTCAGGTTCACTTCACACTTTCCGTAGCCGTTGGTTGCTGAAATCTGTATCTCCTCAACAGTTTATTACTGTGGCTAATGCCATTGATGCTGCTAGGGTGAGTTCAAATTATCAAGTTGGCCTTTATCTATTCTTAAGAATTGTTACAATCAAACCTTCCTATAACAACCTCGTTTATTCCGATAGTTTTTGATACTATAGTGAAATCCTGTTACAAAGTATATGTCTGACTATATATGTATTTATTTATTTTTGGATGAATGGACGAAATTACAGCAATGGGACAGAGATTTAGTAGAAGCAAGATACATAAAGGATCTAGAAGATAACCTGAGTATTATACGGCTCAGATTTGGGGAAAATTCAAAGCCTCTCTTCAGAAACAGAGAATTTATCGTCTATGAACGTCGTGAAACTATGGATGATGGAACCCTGGTATATATACTTCTAATTTATTAAATGATTTTTTTTTTTTTTT